GTCACACTACAGGCCTGTTTGTATGTCATACAACTAGCTTCTGGCATTACGGGCAGATTAATAGAGAACTTACACATGCTGAACAGAGTAAATAAGACCAGTCACCAGCCCATGTAATCGCTGCAGCTCTAGCTTGTGGCTTAGCCGATGAAGCGTGCAGACTGTTAAAACAAACACTCTAATGAGCATAGAGCTCCTCTGTCCTCTCGGCTTGCTCCCTGGCTTTCCTTTTCAAACACGAGCACAGCGCTGAATAAACTTCACGCACATGAAACATGCACTTCATGCACTTCCATTCTGGTGCATGCTTTTGTCTGAAAGAAAACGGGGAAAATGACTGCTGGAACAACAACATGTGACAGCTCAATCAAAGGCTGCGCGCATACAAAATAGATTAGACAAGAATTGTGGATTCATACAGCAATGCTAAAATGCCATTTTTCTATTCCACCTTGAAGAGATAGTCATGACAATTCTCCCATAGTTTACTCACAAACATGTTGTTCCAAACCTGTATGACTTTCTGTGGAACATAAAACCTGTTTTTGTTCATGCAATGAAAGTCAGTAGGATCCAAAACGACTTTAGACACCTTTAAGCTTTATTTTATAAACACAAAACATAAAATAAAATGTGCTCATAGAATAAAGTAAGTAATACAGGTTTGAAACGACATGAAGGTGAGTAAATGTTGACAGAATCTTTACTTAAATAAGGCTCAGTAACACATCAAAAGAAATGAACAATCTTTACCATAGCAAAGTTTAAATTCTGAATCACAATCTAAGGTTACACTTTATTTTGAAGTGTTCTTGTTGCAATGTAAATACACAAATAACTATTATGAGTATCTATGTTTATGTTACTGTTCATGTGTAAATACTGCAAGATCACTTTCTTAAAATGAAAGTAGAACTATAATGAAAAGGAAAACAAGAGAGCAATTCTATTGGGAAGGAGATAGAGGATGAGTGTCACTGTGCCCTTTTCCAATCTCTCCTTTACCTCCCTCCCATTGAAATGAGAAATACCAATACTCAAGTCCTTGAAGCCTTAGAGCTGCCTCAGAGAGCACACACACACACACACACACATACCAACAGTATGCTTTTCATGATGTATATATTGAAATTCTGGCTGATATGATAAGATGACAATTATTTTCATGTTATGGCTGATAACTGATAAATGACTAATATTATAAATGTACACTAATATGTAAAAAAAAATTGTATTATACAGTACAGTAAATATAAGCATCACAACATTATAATGCACAGTATTAAAGAATAATAAAATATATATGAAATAATGAAGAATAAATATTCCTTTTTGAAATAATTTCTACAAATAAACTCAATATACAAAAACTCAATACTCAATTTACCGTAAATGTACACAGCTCTATAGAAACAGCAACCTTAATAAATATCCAATATTGGCTGACACAATATGTTTATATGTACTGACATAATGAGATATTGTGCATCCTTACATTTTATTTAAAACTATTTAACAGTATTCTGTGCCTCATTTCCATAGTCACTGACAAAAAAAATTAATAAATACAAAAAAATTAATTAGCATGTATTTTCAGCAGTGATTTCATTGATAAGGTCAATGCTATGCAATTAGTCAGTTCTTTTTAATTTCTTACTCATAGACAGAAGTGGCATTGCTAAGTGCCACATGTTCAAAGTGTGTGCAGCGCCAACAAAACCGTCACACTACAGGCCTGTTTGTATGTCATACAACTAGCTTCTGGCATTACGGGCAGATTAATAGAGAACTTACACATGCTGAACAGAGTAAATAAGACCAGTCACCAGCCCATGTAATCGCTGCAGCTCTAGCTTGTGGCTTAGCCGATGAAGCGTGCAGACTGTTAAAACAAACACTCTAATGAGCATAGAGCTCCTCTGTCCTCTCGGCTTGCTCCCTGGCTTTCCTTTTCAAACACGAGCACAGCGCTGAATAAACTTCACGCACATGAAACATGCACTTCATGCACTTCCATTCTGGTGCATGCTTTTGTCTGAAAGAAAACGGGGAAAATGACTGCTGGAACAACAACATGTGACAGCTCAATCAAAGGCTGCGCGCATACAAAATAGATTAGACAAGAATTGTGGATTCATACAGCAATGCTAAAATGCCATTTTTCTATTCCACCTTGAAGAGATAGTCATGACAATTCTCCCATAGTTTACTCACAAACATGTTGTTCCAAACCTGTATGACTTTCTGTGGAACATAAAACCTGTTTTTGTTCATGCAATGAAAGTCAGTAGGATCCAAAACGACTTTAGACACCTTTAAGCTTTATTTTATAAACACAAAACATAAAATAAAATGTGCTCATAGAATAAAGTAAGTAATACAGGTTTGAAACGACATGAAGGTGAGTAAATGTTGACAGAATCTTTACAATTCCCATCCCTGACTTACAAAACACAGCAATACTGGACTGACCAATGGTGTGAGTTTTGGGTGGGATTCTGCATGTCTGACCAATGGAAGATGGGGGATTGTACGGGAAACATATTTGTGACCCTGGACCACAAAACCAGTCTTAAGTCGCTGGGGTATATTTGTAGCAATAGCCAACAATATATTGTATGGGTCAAAATTATCAATTTTTCTTTTACGCCAAAAATCATTAGGATATTAAGTAAAGATCATGTTCAATGAAGATATTTTGTACATTTCCTACCATAAATATATCAAAACTATAGATTACTGAGATTACAGGTGACTAATTCTGACAGCTCTCACCCTACAGTAAAACAAACCTCTAATACACTGTTTTGACAGCTGTAAGAGGAACTGGGGACTCAAAGAGCTGCTAACGGCCACATAAATATGATTTGTGCAGCCAGGAGCGGTGTGCTCTAACAGGGTGTGAACGTGCGGCCTGCGGTTGACCCCCTCTTTAGGAAATAGTGGTCAGCAGTGTTGTGGATTCAGCACACACATGCTTGAATGGTCCTGAGAGGCGGCTTGAACGGTCTGCAATGAGAGAGGTCAGGAAATGCCTCTGTCACATTCAGTGACCACTTCATCTCCAGCCACCCACTCAGAGCACAGATCAGAGAATCTGCACTGCACTTCTCAGCATTAGACTATATTAATGCTTCCACATACCTGAGCGGGCAAAAGCTTCTGACATTTTTCAACAAAACAGTCACATAAATTTGATTTCCACAAAATGGCCAAATAAATCCTCACATCTTACATTAATAGCATAATTCTGGAACCAAAGGAGTTCTGTTGAATCACAGACAAGCATATGGCTTATAATGGTGGATATAAGTCTTGTCTGTAATATTTTGATGAATGCAGAGGATCATAAATCTTTGGTAAATGATGCTACACATATTATTAGTTATAAAACATATGTGCATCGTTTACAATGGTAACCATAGATACTGTCAACAATATCTATCTATCTATCTATCTATCTATCTATCTATCTCTCTGTCAACTCTGTCTGTCAACTCTATCTATCTATCGATCTATCTATCTATCTATCTATCTATCTATCTATCTATCTATCTATCTATCTATCTATCTATCTCTGTCTGTCAACTCTATCTATCTATCTATCTATCTATCTGTCTGTCAACTCTATCCATCTATCTATCTATCTCTGTCTGTCAACTCTATCTATCTATCTATCTATCTATCTGTCTATCTGTCTGTCAACTCTATCTATCTATCTATCTCTCTCTGTCTGTCAACTCTATCTATCTGTCTATCTATCTATCTATCTATCTGTCTGTCAACTCTATCTATCTATCTATCTATCTTTGCTTACAAAGGCTGCAATGATTTGATCAAAAATACGGTAAAAACATTAACAATATGAAATATTACAATTTAAAATAATGTTTTAAAATATCTTTTAACTACATTTTGAAATGCAATTTATTCCTGCGATGGCAAAGCTAGGCCTAAATTTTCAGTGTCACATGACGCTTCAGAAACCATTCTAATATGCTTATTATAATCAATGATGAAAACAGTTATGCTGATCAATATTTTTTGTAAAAAATGTGATACGTTTTTCAGAATTCTTTGATGAACCGAAAGCTCAAAAGAAAATAATACATTTGAAAAAGATTTAGTATTTACTTTAGTCACTTTTCATCAATTGATTCCATCCTTGTTAAAGTACATATTTTCCTTCAGAAAAAAGTATATATTTTAGAAAAAAAAATATATATATTTAAACAAAAGTTTATATTGTGTCTTATCTTGTTTCATTCATTTAATTTTCAATGTTATGCCAATTCTATCTAATGACATATTTGACAGTTTTATTGACAACTATTTTGACAGTAACCGTGGTTACCATGGTAAAAGTGTAGTTTCACTTAATACACTTTAAAATGACAACCTGAACTAACCTCTGTGTTAAAATATCTTTTGTTGCCAATAAAATTATTCCATTACGCAAAATGTGGTACACAACAACACAATCATGGCTGTTGCTTGCATTGATAGGAAGACGATTGTGTTAAATAAAGTATAAAAAGATAATAAGCATGCTTTAACAGAAAATGATAACAAAACAATGAATAACAACACAACAGGAGACACACACATGCACACACACACAATGTGATGCTTTGCAGGAATGAACAAACTCTGGTCTCCTATGAAGTATCACTCCTAGAAAAACCAACACAGATCTGAACACCTGCTCTTCGTGTAACTATGACTAATTTCTATCATTAACATGATCAATCAAAAATGACTTTGGACTTGACCACAAATGAACCTTTCTAGGGATGAATCAAAGTCTAGTGCTCTTATCGTAAACAGAATGGGGAAATGTTATAAGTAAATCCATAAAAAAAAATAAAATAATCTGACATATTCTGTAAAGCATAGCTTGTCTCAACACAGTCATGCTGCCCTAGCACATGATGTTGAGTAGAGAGGAGAACAGTGCTTTTGTAGATGAGGAGTAGAAATGTAAATAAATGTTGGATTACTTTGTCATTCTTTGCTCGGCTTGATTTTGATTCCAGACAAGGAATTCAGGGTCGTACCTATCAGGAGACAGGCAGAGAGAGAGACAGGGTAGGTGTCTAGCACAAAGGGATTTGACATTAAAATGAATGTATTTATGTTTAGCTGTCTTCTTGCTGCTACATGAACATATTACACACTTGCATTTGACTCTCATCATGCACTACAATGTTTAGTTGTTGCTGTGTTGGTTTCTATTAAAGAGGGGTCTCACATAATGGAAAAGAACACCCAACTATACCACTCCAGTGTGAACTAGCAGTTGAAGTAACAGTTGATTTGTGGGTGAGATCAACTTTCACATTTCCAGTCAGTGCAAGCACTGATATATGGTAAGAAGACTTCTGCATTCTACTTTTAGAAAAGCAGTACATTTCTCAAGACAATTATCAGGGGTTTTCAAACTTAAGTTAACTTAGGATAGTAATTGAATGTTTCACAGAATAAATAACACAATTATGAAATTGGACATTATTACTTTTAATTCAGCTTTCTAAAGACTAATTGGAAATTCAGATTAATCTCAAAATTTATAAAAAAAAAAAAAGCACCAAACACAATAATTAAAATTGAATTAAGATGAATTGCTGAAACGTTTTTCATCAGGTTTATAGTATACATCTTGCATTAACAGTGAGTAGAAAAAATGCTGCCAAGTCAACAATTGTTTTGGCTTCACAATGACAATATAAAAACTAATTATTTAATTTTAGACATATTTCTTGCATAATAGCACTAATATTTCTATACAAATATGTCAAACAGAATAAACTGGTCCTTACATGAAAATATATAGCCATTTTATATTTTCAGAAGGAGATAATCATATTTACGGGTCCTTGATGACATTCAAAAAGTTTGAAAACCCCTAAACTATACATTCCTTTTTCTTCAAAGGAGGTGCAAGGCATTATAAATAATGCAGTGTTTTGTCTATATACATTACAATATTTTGCTACATATGACCTTTACGTTTAAAAATGCTGTTTTATGTATCATTTACAAGGATTTTGGTAATGAACTGTGGCCGGTATTGTTGCCAGACCCACCCTTTAATATACCAAACACTATTAGTGAACCAAAGATAAAAGATGACTTTGACATGTTCTGTAACAGTATGAAATTGTCTGTGCATATCTGTGCATTTGTTTGCAGCCAGTAAGTGCAATGCATCACACGTCATACCATCTCCACCATAGCCACTAGCAGTGAAAAGACATGGGAGAGAAACAAAAGCATGAGGAGTCAACAGAAGGGATGACAAGAAAAAAACTAAACAAAAACAAAACAAGGTCAAATCAGCAGAAAAAGCAAGCAAACAAAAAAAGAGAAAGTCCTATAATACACTCACAAGAGATGATCGTCAATGGCCTCTCAGCACATCAAATTAATGTCACACGATAAAACCAAAAATATGCTTAATACCAATATAAAGACTGAGTGAAAAGGGTGGAACTGACTACCTATATAATCCATAAAATCATGCGCTATCATTCATGAAGAATGTTTACAATTGTAACAAATGTGTAATATCCTTTTGTGATTTTGTAAGTGTACACAGGCAAACTAAGGTACTACAGGAAGTGACATCATGTGAAATCTGATTCATGATGTAGGGGAGAGAGAAGTAAGATGTGCCCTTAATCAAGCAAACTGCACATTTGTGACCAAAGATTTAGAAAGAAACCATCATGCACAGCTGCTTGTGACTGCACATAAATAGTGAGCATTTTCATTATATATATATATATATATATATATATATATATACATAAAATATATCTTATATTGGTGAATTTGACAACATTTGTTTTTGGCAAAGAAAATATATGTACACCACCTTTCAAAAGCTTGGGGTAAGATGTTTTATTTTAAATCAATACTTTTTTTCAGCAAGGATGCATTAAATTGATCAAAAGAGAGTCAAGATGTTTATAATGTAACAAAAGATGTCTACATCAAATAAATGCTGTTCTTTTGAGTTTTCTATTCATCAAAGAATCCTGAAAAAAAAACGTATTGCAGTTTCCACAAAAATACTACGTAGCACAACTGTTTTAAACACTGATAATAAGAAATATTTCTGCTGAAAATAATAAAAATGTTATTTTAAATTTAAATAATGTCTCAAAATATCTGAGCATTTCTCGGATTTCTTTAAAAACCATAAAAACCGTACTGACCCCCAAACTTTTGAACGGTACCGTATCTATGGGTTAAAGTGTGTCAGATGCTTCGAGGTACGTTGTGTCAGCTTAAAAATGCAAAATAAAATTAAACAGTGGCACAGCTCACCCCCTCTCCCCTACAGTGTCTTAATTAAACAACCTGTGTGAAGCTCTATTTGATTTGTTAATCACACAGCATGTTAGTTCGGCTCTAATCCTCACTAAAAGGGTGAAATCACCATATGCAGTTCCTTCAAGATGCATTAGACAGTGGGAGAACTCACCTGGGGTCCTTCTGGATGCTGTCCACAGAGGGCGACCTGACCAGCGTTGCCTCCGGGGGCAGAGCAGGTCCCGATTTGCTGTAGGGTGAGTCTGTGGAGGGGCAGAACTGTAGTGTACGGTAGGGGTTGGCATAGTCGGCGGTTGAGGCACCAGGGCCAGTGGCATAGCCGGCACGGGGGAATGTTCCTGTGGCGTTCTGGCTTCCTGTGCGCTGCAAGGGTATGGAGTCAACACCAGGAGAGGAAGGGGCTACAACAGGAGAGTAGGGACAGAGCAGAAGGTTCAGGACCTGGTCACAAAAGCGGTTCTTTGGATCTTTGGGTGCAGCAAAGGGTGAAAACATTACATGTTGACCAGGTATTTCAGTCATAAGAGAGAAGGAGGACAGGAGGAGCAAAACAGAACATAAATCATGTTAAACCATCAAAATAACAAACTGACCCATAATGATAGCTCTTCAGTAGGTGCTTTTTTAGCTTGTCTGAGTGTGAATGCAAAACATTTTTTTCTCTCTGGCCTGCTTTTGTTCAGATTTGAATAGCTACCCAGAAACCACCACTGAGGGCTGTTCATCCTGACGGCAGAGTTTTCCAGCTGACTGGAGCTCAGAGTCGTGCTGGAAACATTCCCTCTTTAAAGTCAACACGAACATTTACTTTTTATTGCACAAGCCTGGTGTGCACGATTTTATTTTTTATTATTCCAAATACACTTTTTTTTTTTTAAATGCTCATTTATTTATTCTTTTATTTTTTATGCCATGTCAGCACAGGATAGTTTAAAACACAACACCAAGCAATAAATAAACTCTTACAGCATACAAATTGGTTTAAAATACTTTAATATGACAGAAATTGTGAAACTTTTCCTGATGGGACCTTTATAAGGTTACAGTATGTTCAAAATTCTGCAGCAAGGGTCCTCACCTCCACCAGGCGTTCTGCTCACATTACTCCTTTACTGCATGATCTTCACTGGCTACCTGTGGCATCACGTATTCACTTTAAGATATTACTCCTAACGTTTAAGGCATTAAATGGTCTTGCGCCTCCATATCTGTCTGACCTACTGTACTCCTATTCTCCTGCCCGGTCTCTCAGATCATCTGAGCTTGGTCTTTTGTCCATTCCTCGTTTTCGGCTGTCCACGGTAGGTGGTAGGTCATTTAGTGTTAATGCTCCGAAATTATGGAATTCGCTACCCCTTACACTTCGTAATATACCATCTTTGTCTACATTCAAGACTCAGCTAAAAACCTATCTTTTTAATATGTATTTTGGATAATGTGGCCTTATGTGTTTTGTATTGTGTATATGGGTGTGCAAATGTTTTGTTTAGCACTATGTAAAGTGACCTTGAGCTATGGAAAGGCACTATATAAATAAAACTTCTTCTTCTTCTTCTTCTTATAAAAATGTCAAGTAAACTTTTTTTACATGACTCTGTCACGATTGCACCAAGGAAGGCGATGAAGACGAAGATAATCCACAAAAATGTCTTTAATAATAAGCCACACGAATACATGAAAGATAATAACTCCGGGTAACATAAACACATGTGACTCTAAACAATAACCGACAGTAAACTGAACAGAAAGAAGACTCTAAATAGGGCAGCTGACGAGGGGCGAAAAGGTGATGGGAGTTAACTAATAATGACTAACGAGCAAATGAACTAAAGAGCTTAAACAGAACAGGAACAAAACCATATAAGGAAAAACAGGCAGATGTAACAGGAAAAGACAACACTAAAGTTCATAACCCTAACAGACGCCACCTTTCCCTACTAATTTTCAATGTTTCCCTTTCAAGCATCTGACTCCATTTTGGTATGTGACACCCAGTTTTCACAATCCAATCAATTCTGGATCCATACACTATCCCATATCATAATCAATATCTGACTGGTTTGACCCAGAAATACATTAGATTATGGAAGCACAATGAGTTGTGAATAGCATCTGATGTTGACTTTCAATAAAAGCCAGGTGGAAAGTTTGGATGCAAAGGTTTAAGGGATAGTTCACCCAAAATGTCAAATCCTGTCATCATTTACTCACCCTCATGTCTTTCTAAAACCTGTATGACTTTCTTTCTACTTGTGGAACCTAAAAGAAGATATGCTTGGGTCCAAAATAACATTGGATGCCACTAACCTTTTGCATGAACAAAAAAACCCACTTCGACACTTTTCAAAATAAAAAGAAAGAAAGTCATACAGGTTTGGAATGACATGAGTTTGAGTAAACCAGTAACTGATTTTTGACTGAACTGTCCTTTTAATACATGCTTTTTATGGCTGTAAAAGCAGAAACCCTGAAAAGCACATCCATTGGCCTGCAAACATGTAAGTGTAAAGAGGCCTGTGCTTTTATATAGATTACACTGTTTTTTTAGGCAAGACATTTTTTAAAAGGCATCTAGACATGCCATTACGCACCATAAATTAGCAGTAATGATATATTCTATTCATCGCAAAACAAAATGTGAACGGAAGTAAATTGACTTTAAAACCTTAAAAGCAAGAACTTGATACTATCTGATAAAGTTAAAGTGATGATGTCTAGCAGCTCACTGCTATTAATTGGGCACTTGGGAAAACATTTCTATTTTGAACAAAAAGAAAGCCGAAACAAGCCTTTTATTTCATAAACGCACCTGTACCAGAGACACGGTGTTCTAGATGCAACGATTTTGTTGTTGACATTAAATTGTTAGAGAACTTCATGTCTGCTATCTTACCCTGGCCTTGGTTGAAGCTCCTCAGGGGTGCTTTCTGATAGACTCTATCCTCATAAATGGGGTCGATGTGGTGCTCAGGAGACTGCAGGGGTCTGAACTCCGAGCCCAGGTGACTGTGCTGACTGCTGTACGAACCCCTGGAACCTACATCATGGACAAAGGCAGATTCTCAAGCACCATTAACCAGAACAAAAATGCTATAAATACACTTGGAAACAACAGTGTCAAATTCTCATCCATCTGTCTGATGATGAAGTGTGAAAATGTCCAGTGCTTATGTGTTTTTGATGATGCTGCTACCAAACGGAAAGGCTGTATCCCGCAAATCGCACTGACCTGCCAGACTGCCGGGTCTCTGGAGGGTGGCGTTGGCGTACAGATCGTGAGAGATCTTGTATTGATCGGTGGTGTGGAGCATACGCTTGGTGGGGGACAGAGTGGCATAGCTTCCCACTGCAGCGCTGAGCTGGTGTAGTGGAGACGAGCTGGAGGCATTGCCCGGTCCGGCCATGTGCAGTGGTGAAGAGGACGACCCTCCTCCCGCCACCATGTTGATGGGAGAGCTGGTGCTGTAGGACTTGGCCAGCCGGCTCGGGGACTGCTTGGGTGACGACACCCGCGCCAGAGTGGCGTAGCTGGGCATGTCGGAGGCTGAGCCCAGCCTCTGCAGTTTGGATGGGGAGCCCAAAGCCTGCATGGAAAAGGGAGAGCTCACTCGCTGGGCTGGTAGAGTGGAGCAGGAATAGTTTACAGGGGCTGCTGGCTGATCGTCAGGCATGTGGAATGCACTGCCATGACTCTGGGCAAAGGAGTCTCGAGAATGGGCCCGGGCGGCTGTCTCTCTGGCAGCCAGCTGGGCAACACGATTAGACGTCACCTGGAGGTAAGTGACATGTAAAGAGCTAAAATTTCACTCTTCTAGAAGCTGTGAGCTAAGTGATGGTGACCGACATGATATTTTCAAGGGAAAACGGGGTGAATTCACTAAACTCTTGCGCCACTTTTTGCGATTGGTAATTCAGTGCAGCAACAGTTCATAGTGCAGTTTAAATGCAAATGAGGATTTAAGTCACTGTCATTCTTTTCAGCGGAAACAAGGATCCTTTCTATTTAATTCTAAACAATTAAAACAATGTTTTTTAAACAATTGTTTTCTAAAACAATTCTAAACAGTTTCCAAACAATTGTAATCTAAACAATTACATTTTTTCCTATACTTCTATTTCTGTATATAGTACATTATTTAATTTATTATTATTATTATTAATAATAATAATTTATTATTTTTATTATTATTTATTTTTTTTATATATATGTATATTTTTATATTAGTTTTATATTACATCCCTACTGTGTTATTCCTATGTATGGCTGCACTATCATGTATATCTGCACTTTAGGCTCAGTAAAGATTGAACACTGTAGCCTCATTTGCATCACAAATTTGAATTCTGCAACAGTGTTACTCTTTTCAAAGAAAGGGTTTTTTTGATTTTGTCAACAAAGACAAAACAAAAAATGAGCATCATTACAATTAAACAATTTGAATGAAATCATACTATTGATGAAACTTTGACAAAATAGCACGGCAATATTTTTTAAATATTGAAAATATTGAAAAAAGAATACTAAAAACATCAAGGCAGTGCATGCACATAAACAGCGTTATTAGCGGACGCACTACTTAGTGTATTCCCCCCAGAGGGTTTTCTCATAAAAACAGGGTAAAATTCACACGGTTTGAGACAAAAGGGTTAAAATCAGAGTTTTCACAAAGAGATGAATCCCCACCTGATTATAACTATGTAACGCTCCTCCCACCTGACCACTGCGAGGAGGCTGGGAGGCCGACAGGTCGCCGAGGGCCAGAGTCTGGTTGCTATGGTAACTGACTGGATAGGGAAAGGTGCCCTCTTGATTATTGAGCTGCAAAGCACTCTGAGAGGGGATGCCTGGTCCTGTGAAGGGGACATTTTGGAAAAATAAATATAAGACAAAACAGTTTAACTTGAAAAAATTTAAGATTAAATGTAACAATCACTCATTTATTTCCAGCAGAGATACTGATTTGCAGTTAGTCTTTCATGCTACCTATTTGCATATAGAATTGATATTAATCTTGTAATCTTTGCATATATTTAACCATGTATAACTTCCTTGAAAGTGACTCTTCATTCTTGTGTGCAGCCAAGTATGATAATTGTTATAACTCTGTCATGAAGCGGCATGATGCAGTATTGCATTTACACAGAATCCAAGCCTAAAATCTAAACTTACATAAAACTTTATTTCTTTTGCTGCCTTGGAAGCTCAGGTATTTCCTTCAGGAGATGCAAATCTTGTTACCCTCTCTTCTCTGTCCATATAATTCCCCTCACCTCATTTTACCTTCGTAAAATTGGTTAATTGCTTTACCATTTCATCTCATATTCTTTCATTGTCTTCCAGCCTCCATCCACAGTTCTCTGTTTTACTTTCTTTTATACTGCTCATTATTTCAAGCCTCACAGTGAGTAGATGGACAGAATAGGCATGCATAATTAATCACTGCTGGAAGACACTCAATGTGCACACATTCAAGAAAATGGGGTCAGCATGAACAGAAATCGCAGTCCCTTCTCTTCGTTCGGCCCTCCTGTACTGACAGTCTGACACTGTGCCATACAGCAGTGATTCCCAGTCCTTTACAGTACGTACCCCACAATCACATAAATAAGGCACAAGTACTGCTAGAAATGTGTTCCTTTTAAATATTACACTGGATATCATTCAGAATGACCATAATACATTATTAAAGGGGTCATATGATGCGATTTAAATTTTTCCTTTCTCTTTGGAGTGTTACAAGCTCTTGGTGCATAAAGAAGATCTGTAATGCCGCTGCCATGTTGTGGAGTTGCTGTGTGTTTCATTGTCAAAGCGAAACTACTTTGTTTGGTCTTCCAAAAGAGGATACAACTAGAAATCAGTGGTTAAGTTGTATTTACAACACTGTTCCAGAACAGTTTATGTACATTATATGGAAAATAATGTGTTTTTTGAACCTTAAACCGCATAAACACATTGCACTACACCAAATACACAAAATAATGTTCTTTTTAGCAACGTCATATGACCCCTTTAAATTGGACGGTATTAACATGATTCACTTTGAAACTAAAAAATTAAATACTGTTGGGGATAAACAACTGAAGCAGCTTTACCCACCAACTGAAGCAGTTTGAGAAACTATAGAAACTGGCTATATAACGGCATTTCGTTTGATTGGCTTTGATGAGACATTTAATAGGATGAAAGTGAAATAAGTAAAACTGCTTCAGAAATACAGAGAATGTTATATTATATTAAACATTCTAAACACTTCAAAGGAGGCCATAAGCATATGAGTATATCCACTTTGTTAAAAGACTGAAAGAAAATCAAAAACTTCACTGAGCAAGTGGGTCAAACCAATTCTTCAACAAGTCTTTTACATACAAAAAAATTATATTTCAAATATTTGCTGTTCTTTTGAACTTTCAATTCAGCAAAGAATCCTGGAAAAAATAAGTATCGCATTTTCTACAAAAGTATTCAACACTGATAATTAGGGATGTAACGATTCACTCAACTCACGATTCGATTCGATTCACGATTTTGATTTCACGGTTCGATTCGATTCACGATTTTTTTTTTACAAAATGAGATTTAAGACAAATTATAAATTAAATGTGTCCTTTTATTATTGCTTAGACAAAATACTGTACATTTCTTTGTGAAATTGAAATATAACACTATAATAATATACTAATATAGCACTTGCATATTATTGCTCTTTTGTTGGTTTTGATTGCTTCTATTGTCCTCATTTGTTAGTTGCCTTGGATAAAAGTGTTTGCTAAATAACAAAATTTAAATTTAATGTAAATGTAAATAACAAAACTAAATTTAAAATTTAAAACAAGCCCCAAATCAAATAAATAAGTAACACAAATAAAAGAAAGCTATTCATATAAACAAACTAAGGCTTTGTCTGTGCTCTTTCCATTTAAAATTAGAGGCTACCACTGCATTTTAATCATGATGCAAACAAAGATGCTGCATACATGCAACATGAGCAGTTTTTAATCTAAATTACATTGTATAATTTCTAAATTTGAAGCAAAAACAGAATGGTTTGACTTCAGTTTTGTGAAACTATGCATAAAAAATATCTGCATGAAACAGAAACAGCAGACGAGCTGAATGAGATGCAGATTCACTCTCTGCCAGCAGGTGGCGCTTACAGCGTTTCCTTGGTTTCCACTGTAAACAAAGCAGCGCTGCACTTATGAACTTTTAATATGGATTATACAGAGGCAAGATGAAAAGAAAAAATACCATCGAAAGACAGTAAGTTCCCCTCAGACATACATTCATATAAACTCCTACCCCTAACTGAATAGCGATTTGTTTAGCATCTCAACTGATTTGAATTGTCACATATTTAAATCGAATTTCAACCGGCTCGCGGTTAATCGTTACATCCCTACTGATAATAAGAAATGTTTTAATGCATTAAAAAAAACTTACTGCCCCCAAACTTTTGAATAATAGTAGTGTACACTATGAGCATGCACATGTTTAACAGTAAACATTTAAGAGTAAACAGTGTTTAATTAAATTAACCAGAAAAAAATGTATTAATATATGAATCATCAAAATAATTGTTATCCCTATTTTAAAGTAATAATTTATGCTTTACTAGATTAACAAAGCAAAATCCAAATGTCTGTACCCCTGGAACGTGAAGTAATTCCTTCATGGGAATCACTGCTATATAGCACCAGATATCACCTGCATGCACAGAGACAAGCTTGCATGCAGTTTAATCTCTGACAGCCTGCAAAGTCAACCATGACGGTGTGTGGTTTTTGTCATGTTAACCGAAGCTTACTGCCGCACTGTCAGGGCATGTTTCTCCTCTTCTGAGGATGTCTGACAGCACCTAAAGATGTTGCATCTTTTAAAGAGGTGCCAGTTTGAAATGGCCTGACAGAGCAATAATGTTTGTTTACAAAAGATCTACATGCCACAACATGCTGTTGTCACGGAAACGGATGTGTGGAGGCAGGCAGGACGACGAGGACAACAAGAATTCCACTACTCACTTTTAATGTAGACACAACAAGGCAGGTACAGGTAGGTGAAACACACACACTCGGGGTAACATTCACAATAACCGACACCAATGCTCAGACAGACAGGAACTAATATGGGGTGAATAATTAGAGGCAGACAGGTGAGCACAATGACGGTGATTAACTAATGATTAGACGGGCTAAACCAACACAAAGGGAAGAAACCACAACAAACAGTCCACAGGGGCGTTACAGTACTCCCCCCTCCCGGAAGGTGCGTCCTCGCACCGTAGAAACAGAGGGAGGTGCAGAGGAGGACTAGGAGGAGGATCGTCCAACGGCGGCGGAGCAGGTGGTGGAGGAGCCCGAGGCGGAGATTCGGGGGGCCATGGCGGAACAGGGGACTCAGGTTGCCATGGCGGAGCCGGGGACTCGGGAGGCCATGAAGGGAAGAAACCACAACAAACAGTCCACAGGGGCGTTACAGCTGTAAGATGAATTACAATTAGGAAACACCATATTTTAGTGATATTCACTTGCTACATCTACATTTTCATCTCTGATTCTCTTTCAATCAAAAATAGGCTGCAAATATGAAGATTAAAAGAAAACCAATAAAGGTTTGCAGTCTATGAAAAGATTTCCCATAAACTGACACACACATAGACATACAGTAGAGTCTTTGTGACAGTGTGACTTCAAAACCACTGAAGATGATAACTGGGTCATTTCAGATGACCCAGTATTATCAGAAACTGTCCGACTGCGGTTATTGAAAATGGCTGGAGTTTACTACTATAACCACTTTAGCCACTATCAGATTCAAAAAGAGGCACATTTACAGTAAGAGCTGAAAGTTTCATAAATCCATAATCAGACTTCAGGTCTTTCTCCAGTCTCAAACCAAGCATTTTAGACATCTTAAGATGCCATTTGCTGCCATACAGAGTGGTTGTGCGGTGGACAATCTATGTCCAGGTGGCTGGTCACTTATCTGTTTGGGGAGAGGGGTTTTATCTCCACACTCTATGACCTGCATTTTAGATCAGAGCCGATAAATATTTCAGCTGAATTCTATTTATAACTCACAACGAGTAAATAAATACAAAATATATTTTATCTGTCTTGCACGATAGTTCATTAAAAACCATTAAGGCTCTATGTATCCATGTACACTCATTTATTTAGCGGTTTGCTCAATATTTAATGTTCTAGATCATGCTTTAATTTGAGTTTCCTGCAGTTAAGTTTGTTTAGTTACAGCTGTGTCAAACTACATGTGTTGCATTGATAAGATTAATCAGTAATTGACACTAATAGCTAGTGTGAGTGAAGGCTATGTGTAGTGTATCAGTGATAATTAAAACTAGGCATAGAGGCTAGATACTGAAGCCAAGATCAGAAAATATACAGTATGTAAGTATGTATATTTATTTTTTTACTTTTAAAGTACATTAGCATACTGACTATTCAAAAGTACATGTACATGAACACAGACTAAAAGCCACAGAACTGTTATGATTTCACTGGGTCTTCCAGGAAGAAATTAATACTTTTATTTAGCAAGGATGCATTATATTGATCAAAAGTGACCATAAAGACTAAATCTAATCTCTTTTAAATAAATTATTTTCTTTTAAACTTACTGTTCATCAAAGTATCCTGAAAAAAATGTATCGCAGCTTCCACAAAAAATAGGCAGCAGAACTGTTTTCAACATATTGATAATAAGAAATGTTTTTAGAGCACAACCTCAACATATTAGAATGATTTCTCAAGCATCGTGTGACAATGAAGACTAAAATTATGGCTGCTTTGCCATCACAGGAATAAATTACTTAATTATTTTAAAATACTGTATATTAAAACTAAAAAAAGTTGTAATAAATTGTAATAATATTTCACAAAATTGCTGTTTTTATTGTATTTTTGATCAAACAAATGTTCTCTTGATGAGCATAAGAGACTTCTTTCAAAAATATATTTTTTTAAATCATAAAATCAATCAAAAATCATCAAACTTTTGAATGGTAGTGTATTTCTACCTGATCTAACCCCTTCAGAAACTATTTTTGTTTGTATAATCTTATGTTCTTAGGCTGATTCTGTCATTTTAAGTAATATTTGATGCTAATATAATATAAAATATAATAATATATAAAGTTAATTCAAATGTGTCCACGTGAACCATATTTTTAGGTTATCCAGAAACCTTTTTTACGCTACTGTATATCTCAACCTCCTTTAAACGCTGAGAAACTGAGCCTTTGAAAATATATCAACTGTTCAGAATATTCATATTTTAATCTGTTCAGATGAGGTGGGCCTGATACTCTCAGCAGGGTGAATATGCTTTTTGACATACTTTATTGGAACATTTGTTGCCTCCTTGAATTTGTTGCCCAAAAAAACTCAGTTCAGAAATAACCTGTAATTCATGCATTAAGCTACTATCATGCATAATAAGGGAGGCAGTGAGTCTCACTCATGAATTTCAGAAAGCTGGAGGATATACCAAGCTCATGTGGATACACTCTACAGAGCAACACCTGCAAGCTCATATTATGGGCTGTTACACATGCATTTCTGAGAATGTACACACTCAGAGAATGTAAATTATAGTCCCCGGCTATCAATCATTTCAGTTTAAGATCACAACTCTGCAGGATCAGAACATTTAGAAGCCATTAGCATTGTTCAGTCTCAGTAATTTCTTAATTGTGCTAAACTTCCAGCATTTAAAACGGCTCCTTACTTTCGCCTGCAGTGAATTCCTGTGAATCCAGAATACCAGATTCTTGAAGAGATCGGATGCAGGAATCTACAAGTTCCAGACCTGTGGTCAGTTCCTCCTCTATATCCTTCTGTCCGTCTGTGAAAAAAGACACGAAAGGTAACTTCATCTAGCAGGCTAATAAGAACACCTACGGCAGAAAATAAAACAGCTCCCTATGATGAGTGTTTCAATAAGCTGGTAGTTACTCAGCAAGGGCTTAATGTTTTATAATGTTACATTTTGATTGCGTTGCAATAAAATGCTTTAAAAACATTCAAGAAGTTACACCTATAATTTAAAATTAAAAGATGTAACAATAATGTGCAGTTTACATATTCAAATCACATTTCTACTATGCAAATAAAACCAGACCAATCTGCATCATTTTAATTTTTAAAATGACATAATCTGTAATTCTGAATTAGATATTTCAAAAACACATAGTGATAATACTTTTATTTACAGAAAGTAGGTGTATGTCTAAAAAACAACCATATGCTGGTTAAATTATGTGATTCATATAAGCTAGTCTGTGACATAATTAATTTACATTTTAAGGAAATATAAAAAAACACTAAACACTACACTAAAGTCTCAAATGTAATCTCTAAATGTTTCTGGAGCATTGTGACAATACGTATTATGTAAAACACACACTCACAGACACACACACACACACATAACATTGAAATGTTATCACAACCTTTTCACAACATTTTTACAATGTATTTTTGGTAGTTGGGTAGCTACGTATTTTGATTAAGGCCTAAACATTTTGAAGTACAAAACCCACCACTGAGGAATCTACTAAAAAAAATGTATTTGAACTTGCCAGGAATGAGAATGAGATGCTTAATCTGGTTTTGTTTTGATGCTTCATCAAGAGCCCAGTATTTTAAAGAGTGTGGCATGACCGCAAGCTCATGAATCATTTATGGGCTGCACTGCTCTTGCTCTTCAATCTCAGCCTCTCCTCAGTGTTTTATGTTCTGGAAGGCAGAGGTTGTCATCTTTCGCTAACATTTTGCTGTAGCACAATCAATAAAAGTCAAAAGTCAACATGTTTCACTCTGACATGCACGGTTTACCACGAGGGCTACTAGATGATGACAACTGTCAAAATGCATTGGAAAAGGTGCTCTTCATGCAACATTCACCTTCTTGTAAGGTTTCAATTATGGATTCCAAAACAATGGGCTGAAGAGCAAGAAAATTCACTTTTTAGCTAGAAAACAGTCCTGTTACCTTGGTTGTTCCAGCGAAACTTTTCATCTGCAGAACTGTAAGATAAAGGATAGAACAGATTTAGATGCATCATCAACACAAACAATGAAGTGAACGCAATCTTTTACCTAATGTTACAATCCTACGCCTGCAACTAACCATTTATATCTTCACTACATGGTCACAAGTGTGTGGGCACCTATTATACTGTATGTGCAAGTTGAATATTTAATTTCAGAATCATGTGCATTAATAGGGAGCTGGTCTTCTGTAAAAGCTTCCAATTTTCTGGTAAAGCAGACACAAGAGCATCAGTGAGGTCAGGCATGATGGACTCTAGCTCGTGATTCATCCCAAATTTGTTCAGTGGTTCTCAGTGAACCATTTCTTCATGGACCTTGCTTTGTGCACAGGAGCATGTCACACTGGAACAGAAAAGGGCCCTATTTTACTGTAAATGTCTGTTTAAGGAAACTGTATGGCTGTATGCTTGATTTTATGCACCTGTTAGTAAAGGGTGTAAGTAAAACAGCCAAATCTTCTAATTAAATGTGGGCGTCCACATACAGAACACTGTTGTTATTTTATTATTTTTTTAAGAAATTAATATTTTTATTTAGCAAGGATACATTACATGTCTCAAAAGTAAAAGTAAAGACCTTTATAATTTCAAATAAATGCTGTACTTTTAAACTTTCTAGTCATCAAAGAATCATGAAAAAACTGTATCACAGTTTCCACAAAAATATTAAGCATCACTGTTTTCAAAATTGATAATAATATGGCTGCCGAAAATTCAGCTTTGCCATTACAAGAACAAATTACATTTTAAAACATATACATAAAAATATATATTTCACAATATTTTTTGAGAACATAAATGCAGCCTTAGTGAGGATAAGTGGCTTCTTTCTAAAAAATCTAACCGACAAACTTTTAAACGGTAGTGAACTTTTGACCCTGTGGTGTTGCTAAATACTTTGGCTGCCATAAACTGCTTATGTAACTGTTTACCCATCAAGTTCATAAATCTATTTGCACACTTTCTGAATCACATACAGTAACTCACTGATCAATGAAGTATCATCTCCGTTGTAGAACACACAAACAGTGGCTATGATGGTTATGGATTGGGTGGAAATGAAGGCTTGAGGAAGAACGTAGAGCCACATACCCCTAATAAATGACCGGCTTTGGCACCCGCATAGTAAATAGCGGCCTGCCTTACCCGTAATGCTATCAGGAGGCTAAACACTCACCCATTGTCCTTGGAGCCTTACAGCAGCTGCTAAATCACTCTATTGATTTTCTTCCGGCGAGTGTGTAAGGATTCATTTTGTGGGGCTGTCTATGTTTGTGCGGGGGGTGACGAATCGCAGAAGAAAACAAAACGCCACATGTTAATAGGGCCACGGCGTTGTTCTCCTAAAACCCATTCATCACCGATTCTTCCACGAACAATGCCTAGACAGAGACAGGCTCCCGGAGAGTGAGCAACAGTGATGAGCCACAAGGCATTTTTACCCGAACCCCCGTTTTAATGAGTGAGTCGACCTGCCTTCAAACAAGCATTAACTGATAGCTTGTTTCATCCTAATAGCTCCCTATAAAAGACAATTACTGGCTAAATATGTCAGGTAATTACTAGCAAATAAATAAGTCCTGTAAGGTAGATAAACACAGATTCAGTTGTGAGATATGATTATGAGGGCCTGAGACATTAAATAAATAAATAAAAAACAACTAATTGTTCCCATTGGCTGGAAATTGTCGTTCAGTTTCCAGTACGCTATAAGACTGACAATTGTGATATCGCTCTCTAGGACGTCTGGCTAGATAACATCACATTGATAGCACAGAATGAGTTTGTCTTCATGGGGATCATTAAAGCCTTTTAGGATGAAGATATTTTTCTCTCCCAAGATAATTAACTTGAGAATAATGACATGACAGATGAGGCAATCACAGCTGTGGGTCATTGTGTGGTCAGTAGTTAATCACTGTTCTTTATGTGCTCCATTTCCATATTGACTCAACATATTAGCTGAAACACTTGGAGCAATGTGATTTGTGCCATTACAATTAGCACACTGAGTTAGTGTTCTTTGCCTCCATTCTGGCTAATTTTAATCGTCTACATATTGTTCTGCAATTATTCACTAGATCACAGTCATGGTCAAATAAACCAAAAACAAAAGGGCGTGAACGTCAAACAAATGCAATGCTAACACTGGTAAATCAATGAGTAATCTCATCTGACACATGTTGAATTGTTAAGAGCACCTTTAATGGTGCTCAAAGGTGATATTTCCTACCTTTTTAGCTTAGGTCATAATTAAACACCACCTTAATTTACGTGAGTCGTTTTGCTTTTGTTGTTTGCAGTACGACAAATTCTGGTATAGCTTACAAAAACAGTTTATTCAACACATATATTCAGTGCAATTTCCTCCTTCGCCATTCAAACAGGTCTTCTTATTGAACACTCAAGCATTCCCTGTTGACATTTCTGCACCAGCTGAATGTGGCATTAAAATATAAATATCTAGGGACAGCACATCTGCAATGCTATATTAATCAATCAGAATCAACTTTATGTTTATAAATCCATTCTAAACCAGTTGTATAAATGTCAAATAGTTAAATTATTAACTGCCTTAAATGCATTTAAATATACATTTAACATATTAAAATAAATAATTTTTGAAAAATATCTTCCTTGATGTCTGTCTGTCTATAGTATTTATCTATATATCTACAAAAATATATTATTAAAAATATAGAGATATATGAAAATGAAAAACAGGTACAAAATGTATTATTATAAATAAATTATATAAAATGTAATTCATTTTTAACGTAATGCCATCAAATGCATGTGTATTATAATGTCAAATGTCAAATACTGCATTAAATACATTAATGTATACACATTTAACAGCATTAAATTAAATACACTTTTTATATTAATATTGAAACACTTATATTTTTCTCTTACTGTCTATCAAATATGCTTTAAAAATCTACACATATCTGTATGTTTTTAATTTTATTAATTCTCTTATGCATTAATGCATTAAATGTGCATGTGTGTGTATACATACATACACAAACACACAATAACAATCTTAAATCAAAAGATTAAACTTACATTTAAAAAAAAAATCAAACTTATGTTGTGGACCCTGCATTACAAAACCTAGCTGCCTAAACTGCAGTAATACAAAAAGTGTTTTTGTGTATGTTTGTTACAGCCTGTTTGCCTTGGATTGTCATAGGAGAAAGAAAGCTGAGATTTTGGTGTGAAAGAGTGAAAGTGTGCTATGAAAAGCTGGAACAAAGCTGAGAGCGCCTTTTGTTCACTGCTAGCGTATGTGAAAAGAGTGAAAGAGGGAGGGAGAGGAGCAGGCCGACCCCAAACCGCTGGGGGTCAATGAGTGCCTCCCAATTGACAAACAGAAAGACAGACACATGCCATCAAGAAAGAGAGGCTGCCTGCTATTTCAAGCTAAATATATATATATATATATATATATAAACATATAGAGTAGAAGGAATTTAAATGTTAAAAACACCTTAACTTACAAAGCAGAATGTCAACTCAAACAGATTTGTGTTGAAATTCAGATTACACACATAAATCTAACCATGTGTTTGATCAAGGGGGTAGGGCTAACTACTTTCCCATGTCTTCAGTGTGTTGTATAAGCTATGCTGTCCGACAGAGCATGTGAAAGGGCTTCACGTGATTATATTAATAAGTGTGGAGCAAAGGCACTCGTCCGTAAGAGCCATGCCACCCATTATTAAACTCTAGATGAGTGGGACTAAAATAGTCCTTGTTAGTCCTGGTACTGTATGTGAGATATAACATATAGAGCACTTTATCATGTAACTTTTCAGATAGACAGACAGAAACAATCTATTAAATCAATTTCAGGGTTCCAAGATTAAAGAGACAGTTCACCCAAAAATGAAAACAATATGTAAATTATAAAATCTGACTTACTTTCTTCAGTGAAACACTGTGATTTTTTCCAAGAATATCCTGCCCACGTCTTTCCTTATAATGACTGAGAATAAGAGCTGTCAAGCTCTAAAGTGACTAAAAGTACTATAAAAGTACCATATTCCAAGTCTTCTGAAACTATACGATATCCTTCTGTGAGGAATAGATAGAAATTTAAGTCATTTTGCCAATAGAAGCACTCCTACAGTCTATAAAAATCAGTTTACCAAGGACAAGAGGAAAGCAGAAACAATCCTGTGTGGGCTTTTGGACTCTTCATGAGGTGATATACGATACTCTACAAATCAAAAGCGATGTAACACAGTCCTCAGAGAGGAATACATTTCAATCCCAGTGCGAGAGAGCATCCTGTAATGAGAGAGCCCCTCTTGAAGTGCTGAATCATGGCCGTCTTTCTCACAGCAGAATTGTGTCAGTGGATAAGAAGGCAATGGCTGGTGTGGCACAGATGCTGTACAGCTGCTCTGTGATGACAAACACTCTTTTACAGTGTATTACTATTAATGGCATGAAGGTAAAATACTCTCACTACAAATCACAGCAATATAAACACCAGTCCCCAGACACCTCTGCAGCCCAGGCTGGCACAAAATGGCTCTCGTCTGGAAACTGCCTCATGAAAATTTATAGTAGTTTTGTGCTGTCAAACGATTAATCGTGATTAATCACATCCAAAATAAAAGTTTTTGCTTACATAATATATGTGTGTGTACTGTGCATATTTATTATGTATATATAAATACAAACACATGCATGTATATATTTAAGAAAAATATGTTATGTTTATATATTAAATATATTTATATATAATATAAAATATAATAATATAAATATATAAATGTATATACAAGTATTCAGGTGTTCCTCATTGTGTCCCTCCTCTAGTCTAGTATATAAAGTGTGTTCTGCCCCTTGTTTCCTGTCCGGTATTGATCGTCTATCCCCATATCCTACGTGTGGTTTTCTTTGAATGTGAAATAAAGTCTGTGATGATTCTGGATTCTCCTTCGTCTCCTCGCTCCTTCA